GAAATTATTTGTTTAAAGCTTAATTCAATTATCCTACACTATAATGAGGACGCCACCTCTTTTATGCTTTAGATTTGCTAGTTATGGTTCAATGCATAAGCTACAAGTCTACCTTACTTAAAGATAACTTAGTGCTGATGAATGAATCACACAGCGATCACTGCCTCCAACTTCGATGTCAAACTCTTTCACGAGTTTATCCAACTTTTTGCAGAGGTCTAATGAAAACGTACATCTTTGTCTGAAACCGATATAGAGCACTACGAAAGATGCATCCGTACAGATCATCATGCACGATGCATAAATTGTGCATCTTCTTACAACATATATATAGATTTTGAAATGGAGTCCAACTGTTTGTAAACCAGCAGTCATAACAAAGTCTAGAATCATTCAGCCACAAGAATTAACATTCATTGATCAGATCTAAAGAATAGTTAAATGCAAAAAGACATTACAGATCCTATATTTCGTTCCTCAATCAACATTCACAGTCAAATTGCAAGCATGTAAGAAAAACAGATTTGATATGAAATATATATATCGCAATTCAAGATTGCATAGAAGAACGAAGGAATAGATAGAAAACAACATCAAACGAAATTAAGACAAGAAGGTGGCGAGAGAACATATACCTGTACGGCGGTAGCTTCAATAGCTAGATGAAGATCGAGATGGAGGAAGATCGATCGGAGTAAGATTTCCGGTGAGTAATTGGGGGAAATGAGATTGTTTTAGGGTTTTATGGAACAGAAGCGGACACTATATATGCTTCGCAATGTAGCCGTAGCGGTGGTGGTTTTATACTCAAGAGTGCACAAAATCTTCAAACACAAAAACATTAGCTCTTTGAATTATTAAGAGTAAATTGTGATTTTTGTACATATGGTTTACTAACAATTGCCACTTTAGTCCTTGTGATTTTAAAATTATGAATTTTCTTTTTTATAGCTTATAATACATTGTTATTTTTATCATGAGGTTAAAGTTTTTATTATAGATTTACCGTTAAGTATGAGGAACAAAAACAACAATTAATTATAAACCATATTAACGAAAAAAACAATAAATTATAAACCACAAGGATGAAAAAAAAATTGTAAACTACAAGGACTAAAGCTGTAATTTTAAAAATACATGATTGAAAATAACAAATTTCAACAAACCTACAGGACGAAAGATAATGTAGTTTGCCCAATTCTTAATTAATTTATACATTTAATTTATTCAAAATCTTTTTGTGTTTCAGACCTTATAAGATTCTAATTTTCGAAAATAAATTTTGTATTGTTTTTTTGCAATCAATTTAAAATGGATATTTGTAATATGGAAAAAAGGTAGTATGTCTATTTGTTGAATTGTTAGCATAAAATAATGCATTTTTAAATTTTAATGATTTCTATACAAATTTAATTATGTAATTATTAAATTAGAAATTAATATATATACAATTTTATGTAATTATCTATATTATTTTCGATCATTTTATTGTATTATATGTTAACATTGCATTTGGTGAAGTTAAATGTTTATTATCTACCAAGAGCCTAATAACAAGTAGCGGTTGTTTATCAAATCCTTACCAAGTTGCTTACCTTACTAGGTAAGCATGACAACGACTGAAAATCTTACTCGGTAAGAGATACGGCAACAACCAACATAGAGACAAGTGATTCACAAGTTAGTTGATGATCGTCGATTTCGGCCGCTAACGACCAACAGGTTCCATCTGATCACCTTCTCGTCTCAATTTCTTTGACATAGCCTATAGTGGCCGTATAAGATCTTGGTGTAACGGATTCCTCCTGATAACAGATCTTGAGATAGAAGGATCTCTGTACATATTCAGTTTGATCACCAAGGAAGGATTATTTCTTCCAGAATGTTCTACTTGTTGTGGAGGGCATTATGGTTGCAAATGTGGACTGGGTCTTTCCTATGATGAATTCAAAGGAGTGTACAAGGGATCCAATGTGAGCTTCTCGTCTTGAAAAGTAATATTATATCTTGCGATTCCGCAAAATGGAAAGAAATTAACGGGCCTTCGTATATGGGTCTAAGGCGGCATTATTGGGAGGATCCCGTTGCTGTTCAAGGCAGATACTTTCGTTGGGATGTTCATTGTTCCAAGTAATTGGTTTCTGTGGACACAGTGAAAGAGAGATTTCGCCAAACTTGCCTACCGGGATCCGATGATTATCCTATGAACAACCGATATTCTCTTGTTGAAATGGGTGGTTTCCTCGCCCTCCTTCATAAAGTATCTGCAGATAAAGTTCATGTATGGATGCTCAAAGATTTCCRGAGGACAAAGTGGGAAAAGTTTCAGTCGATAAGCGTTTCAAGCTATGTGGGCTCAAGCATTTATCCTGGTAGCRTTCTTCCGCTTCCTGTTACTAGCGTTAAAAGCAAACGATATCTTATCTTTAGAAAACCCGGATCTGCAACGGCTCTATATAGTTATGATCTGAAGGATCAACGGATGAAAAAGCTAGACATCGAGATTGCAGGCGATGAACGTTGCGTGGTTCAGTCGACAGCAGCACGTTGTTGATAACCGAGGTAGAAATGCAGCTTATACTACCAAAATCTGTAAGTATAAAATCTAAGATCATAAAAGAGGGGATATTGTTTTAGTTATATAACATGTGGGATGATGGAAGTTGTGGAAAATAATGTCTGTGCTTATTGGAGCATGTAAGAAAATAAGCATGCATCTGCTTTTGCTTCTTTTTCTGCTGTTTCAACTGTACTGATTCATGCATAAACATGCAGGAAACATCTTTTAGGGCTTTTTGATTGAAGTAAAATGCTAGCGGCATAGTGTTTGATCTTGGAAACAATTATAGATTTGATTTTATGCTGTTTAGATTTGTGATTTTTCCGGTGGATCCCCTTACGTAATGCTATCAGCTTCGCTCCGTTTCTTCTTCTAGATCGTTCTTCAAGATTCTTCCAATTAGTGTCGGTTCGAGACGTGTGTGAAAAAAGGTTAATTTTGATCACTTTATCGCTTATTCACATGTAAGGAGACACCTTTAGGGGCTGTTTGGTTGGTTTTTGTTAAGTCATGTATGGATAAAAATGTTTATGTGAATTGATTTGTATGTGTAGATTGATAAGGTTTTTGTTTGGGATGGTTTTTCTTAGATAAAAGCAGCGTGTTTTTTTAATTGAGTGGAGCAGGTTTGGAAAAAAAAAAATGGTTTTCAGCTAATTTATTAGTCAAATATTAGTCATCCATTGGATTAATTCAAATATTTTGATCTAATTTCAACCAATTATTCACATATTTTTTTAAGTTATTAAAAAGCACTTTGTATAAATATCAAGTTTATCAATAAATGCGACCCGTTAAAGTAATTCATTTGAATCTGTTCTTTTATCCGATTATATTTTATGAAAAAGAAAAACTGAACATTGATAATCGCTTATATCTTTTCTATCTACTAATGGAAACACTAATCAAATTGTTTAACATTTTAGTAATTATGAATTAGTACGAACCATCGTGTGAAAATAAAAATTAAAGTAAGAAACATGTGAAGGGATTTAAACTCTTGATCACTTTTAATTAGTGTTGATCTGGTGGTTGTCATTAAGTCCCAAAATATCCCATGAATTAGCTTAAAAACGCATTTTCATTTGATCTTCAATTATGATTGAAATCCAAGGGTGAAGATTCATTTTTACCCTTCTCAGTGTAACTTTTGTTCTCACCGAAATCCAACCATGTGAATTAGATTATGAAATGGTTGTGTCCAAATTAAAAAAATACATTACAATTGTTGTCTTTCTTAATTTGTAAAAATGAATTATGATATGTATGTGTTTATGACATTTTTTATTGGAATGACATGTAAAATTATGAAATATGAAAAACCTTATAATCACCTGACAAATTTAAAATATCTTATTAAAAAGGAAGACAGCTTTCTTAAATAAAAGTGAAGACAAAACTTAGTTATACAGAAATAGTAAAATAAGAACAAAATAAGGGGTGGTTTACCAAACACTTACTCAGTAAGCGTTTACCAGTAAAATTTAACACTATCAATTACTTACCGGACAAGATGTCCATCAAAAAGTATTCGTATACAACAATTTTCCCTGTAAATGCTTACTGTGGTAAGAGTCTTCGCCCTCACTTACCGGATAAGACTTTTGATCCTTGTCTCGCTCTTACTGGGTAAGATTTTTGGTCTTAACCATATTCTTCCGGTAAGCTAATGTGACTTGCAAGTTAAATGTTTATTATCTACCAAGAGCCCAATAACAAGGAGCTTAACTACAAACTCCTGAAAACCAGACTAAACACATTGGAATGAGATTTCCAAGACTAAGCGGTTGTTTATCAAATACTTACCAAGTGTTCACCAAGTCGCTTATCTTACTAGGTGAGCACGACAACGACCGAGAATTAAGAGACATGGCAACAACCAAGCTTCGTACCCAATAAATAAGAGAGGGCCAAGACTCTTTAACTGATTAACTCTTACCAGGTAAGAGACAATTCATTTTGATGGTCGAGAATGCAACCCGATAAGGTAAGAGAGAGTAGTGACTCTTGTCGGTAAGTGCTTACCCGGTAAGCATCACTCCAAGCTCAAAAAGGACATATATCAGGGTTAAAGAAAAACTTGCTGCAGAACACAAATCTGGCCTTTACGACAGAAGCACCAGTTTGACCTGCAACAAAATTCCTGATTCCCCAAATGACCCTGCTGAATTATTAAAACTATAACAGGACTTGGGGTCTTTTGGTTAGCAGCTAGCTTAATTAGACTTGCATCTTCTTCGGTAAACTATACAAGACTGTTTGGTAGTGGTTTAATGATATAGAAAGTGACTTATTTGGTAAGTTTCTAAGGGGAGCTTTTTGCAGAAAGCCAAGTTTTTTCCAAACTTGCCCCTCCCAGTTAAAAAACACACTCCTTCCATCTTAAGAAAAAATCCTCCCAAACAAAAACCTTCTCAATCTATACATACAAATTAATCCACATAGACAGCTTTATCCATACAAGACTTAATGAAAAACAACCAAACAGCCCCTAAAGGTGTCTCCTTACATGTGAATAAGCGATAAAGTGATCAAAATGATACCTTTTTTGACACACGTCTCGAACCGACACTAATTGGAAGAATCTTGAAGAACGATCGAGAAGAAGAAACGGAGCCAAGCTGATAGCATTATGAACGGGGATCCACCGGAAAAATCACAAATCTAAACAGCATAAAATCAAATCTATAATTGTTTCCAAGATCAAACATTATGCCGCTAGCATTTTACTTCAATCAAAAAGCCCTAAAAGATGTTTCCTGCATATTTATGCATGAATCAGTGCAGTTGAAACAACAGAAAAAGAAGCAAAAGTAGATGCATGATTATTTTCTTACGTGATCCAGGAAGCACAGACATTATTTTCCACAACTTCCATTATCCCACATATTATATAACTAAAACAATATCCCCTCTTTTATGATCTTAGCTTTTATACTTACAGATTTTGGTAGTATAAGCTGCATTTCTACCTCGGTTATCAACAACTTGCTGCTGTCGAGTGAACCACACAACGTTCATCACCTGCAATCTCGATGTCTAGCTTTTTCATCCGTTGATCCTTCAGATCATAACTATATAGAGCCGTTGCAGATCCGGGTTTTCTAAAGATAAGATATCGTTTGCTTTTAACGCTAGTAACAGGAAGCGGAAGAAYGCTACCAGGATAAATGCTTGAGCCCACATAGCTTGAAACGCTTATCGACTGAAACTTTTCCCACTTTGTCCTCYGGAAATCTTTGAGCATCCATACATGAACTTTATCTGCAGATACTTTATGAAGGAGGGCGAGGAAACCACCCATTTCAACAAGAGAATATCGGTTGTTCATAGGATAATCATCAGATCCCGGTAGGCAAGTTTGGCGAAATCTCTCTTTCACTGTGTCCATAGAAACCAAATACTTGGAACAATGAACATCCCAATGAAAGTATCTGCCTTGAACAGAAACGGGATCTTCCCAATAATACCGCCTTAGACCCATATAAGAAGGCCCGTTAATTTTTTTCCATTTTGCGGAATCACAAGATATAATATTACTTTTCAAGACGAGAAGCTCACATTGGATTGGCGGGCCTATAAAAACATGAACAACCTTGTACACTCCTCTGAATTCATCATAGGAAAGACCCACTCCACATTTGCAACCATAATGCCCTCCACAACAAGTAGAACATTCTGGAAGAAATAATCCTTTCTTGGTGATCAAATTGAATATGTACAGATATCCTACTCTCTCAAGATCTGTTATCAGGAGGAATTCGTTACACCAAGATCTTATACGGCCACTATACGCTATGTCAAGGTATTGCTCGTTCATTTTAAGCCCTTGTTTTTCTTCCCTTATGTCTATGAGACGAACTGTGTCACTTCCGGTTGGCTTCTCGAGAATCAAAGAAGCATGGTCTAACAAGATCCTGTTAGTAATTAGATTGGACCACCGTCTGCAGACAAATCTAAACTTATAACGAAGCATATCAGCTGGAAGCTTTGTAAGGATCTCCAAAAGGAGATCATCAGGAAGAAAAGAGAAAAAGTCCACATTCTTTTTCCTCCTTGTTACCTGTTCAGTTTCACATTGTTTCTTGTACTTTTTTATTGCCATCTTCCTTGAATTCTGTCACAAAATTGTGCAGCACTTTTATTCTCTTTAATTTGACATCTATATTGTCATACAACCGTTTTATAACTATACAAGTGAGCACAGAGAGACATGCATGCATAGACTTGGGGTCGTGTGAGAATAAGAGTTTTGGTAAGAATAGTGAGAAAGTTTCTAAGTCTTTGGATGAGTTTATTTTTTGATTTAACGGCTAAAAAGAGTGGACCCTCAACTAACTTCAATTGATAGCTGGCAAGAAACATTAACCTTCATCTACTTTCATCTTCACCTTCATTTTCACTTTTTTACATATCTTCAATCACTTTCACATGCATGAATTTGTTAAAGTTCCAATCATAAAGATAGAAGTAAAATGAGGGTACATGAAAGTTCTGTTCTCACGTTCTCACCAAAAAAATCATTCTCACAAGAACCCAACCCTGTATTCATTTACGTCAGTTGCAGATGAATAATCAAAACACTGAGCATAAATCATGGCTTCAAGTATGAAGATTCACGGGATTGAAAAAACACATCCCATGGCCAATACGTCCATTTGGTATCAAGTACTATCTTCATGAATGTTTAATATGTACTTAAAAACTTAAGTCTTAGGGGCTGTTTGGTTGGTTTTTTTATTAAGTCATTTATGGATAAAGTTGTCTGTGTGAATTAATCTTTCTGTATAGATTAGGAAAGTTTTTGTTTGGAAGAGTTTTTTCATAGATGGAAGTAGCATGTTTTTTAATTGGGAGGGGCAGGTTTGGAAAAAACTTGGCTTTCTGCATAAAGCTCCTTCCTAGAAGCTTACTGAATAAGCCACTTTCTATATCATTAATCCACTACCAAGCACTCATGTATAGCTGACCGAGTAAGTTGTGCCTCCCATTAAGCTCGTTAAGCTGCTAACAAACAGGCCCTTATTCCGTCTCAGCGTGTCCTTATTGGCCCAATAAACAATTTAAACATAAAAGTCTAGACCGACACTCGACCTTTGGTGTTTGTAGGTTGACGGATACAAAAAGTTGTGTTGGTCTGAATGTTGCCTACCGTGTAATTCCATTAAAAGCAAATTTTCATCGGATTTAGGAAAGAAACTCCACATCTAACATTAGAGATCTATTTGAGCAGGCATTCTCAATAATAGTTAATAAGATACCTTGAATGAATATGCTTGCTTTTGTCTGTATCAACACAAGTAAAATATACGGTTTCTAGGTATAAGCATGATTGTCACATTCTAAAATGCGAACAAGTTATTGAACTTCTATTACATTTTCTTGGAAACCTCGATACAATATTTCTGATTCAAATTAAAATTGTTACAAGTCACTTTTGAGAATTACAAATAAAGGACCATAAAATTCAATGAAGCATTCATCGTGGTTAGCTTAAAATTTTGAGTACCGTTAAAGGCAGCTCAGTTAACATCAAGAAGCAGTGGAGTATTCGCATGTGGTACTGCAGAATACATGCACAACTTCTAATGGAAAAAATAAGATTCAATGAAGACTTAGTTCATCTAACATGTAAACATCGAACATTCTGTTTTTGGTGTTCCATCATTGGTATGTAACAATTGAGATAGATATCTCTCCATTTTTAAGAGAATTGGCGAAAGAATTGATTTATCATCCTACTCAAATCGATTGAAGATGGTGTTCTATAGGCATCTCAAATTGAAATTCTTAAAAATGGTATTCTCCTTATAGATTTTGTTGCTTATTCTAATGATCTACAGCAACTGACAACTATTGTTTGTTGATCATAAATGTAGTCTATAGGCCGATCTGATTGGTGGACAGGAGTTCTTGTGGTTAAGCAATTATAATGGACTTCTTTTTAGAACCCATCTTCTAAGAAGATGCATAAGTTGTGCTTCATGCATGAAAATGTGTAGGGGATGCATCATTTGCAGTGCTATATTTGGTTCAAACAAATGTGTAAATTTTCTTTTCATTCCATTTTATATGAGATGGACACTTTTTTTGTCCTTATGAAAAAAAGACATATATTTCTAGATTATATAGAAGTTGTCATGGATATTCAACCAAATAACATGTAAATATAGATAGACACATATAAAATTTAAATCTTATCTCTACAAGCTATTTAAACAAAAGATGTTGTATTCCCTTCTCCGACCACCTACTAGAAAATGTAATATGACATATTTTCAAGGTTATTTTTATGTTACTTGCTCTACAAAAACCCAACTACATTCCTTGAATAAGTGTGAAGATAATGTAATCAAGGGTTTGACGAATATCTATGACAACTTCGGTATAATATAGAATTGTAGTTTCTTTTTCAAGAATGACCAAAAAAGATTGTCTATCGGGTTTGACGAATATCCAAGACAACTTTGGTATAATATAGAATTGTAATATCCTTTTCAAGAATGACCAAAAAAGATTGTGTATCTCATAATAAATGGAAAGAAAATAAAATTTACCGCTTTTGTTTGAACCAGATATAACATTGCAGATAATGCATCCTGTACACATTTTCATGCACTAGGCACAACTTATGCATCTTCTTAGAAGAGAGATTCTAACAAAAGGAGTCCAACTATTTCAAGTTTATAATTACGATCAACACACAATAGTTGTCAATTGCAGCATGAAAGAAAACATTTCCCTATGCATAATCCTCAAAATACGTAAAACAACGAAATAAGTGCATAAACAGCCGCATTAACGAAATTGAGACGAGAAGGTGATCAGATATAACCTGTTGGTCGTTAGCGGCCGAAATCGACGATCGTCGATATAAGCAATCGGGAGACTAATCCAAGGAAAAGGGCAGAATCAGGCGTGATTGAGGTTTTTCTAGGGCTCAATTGAGCAGGCGCGGGAGATTCATATGCTTCCCCATGTGACCGTAGCGGTGGGTTTTGTGCGGTGTGCAAAATCTCCTGTTAAAAATACAAGTTTGCAATTTTGTATATTTAAATTAATTGAAAGTGTTAAATCATTTAATATTTTTACAAATATGGGTATATCTATTTAAAAAATATATATATTTAATGGTTTTTGGGATTGCTTATTTGAAATAATTTATGTTTTTCTACAAAAACGTTTATCAACTTATTATAAGTCAGAATGATTTAACTTTTTCAAAAAAAAATTATTACCAGTCTGACACCGGTATAAGTTGTTTGTTCAAACACTCAAAAGTGTTTATTACCGGTATCACACTGGAATAAGTCAATAAGTTGTTTTTATAAGCAATCTCAAACAAGCAAACACCCTCTTAGTACAGGGTTGGGTTTCGACAAGAATAAAGTTATGATAACAAATATAAGAATGAATTTTTATTTTTGAATTAATCTTAATTGAATGAAAATAACACTAATAAGATGTAACGGATTAATTCTAGTAACAAACGTAATTCATAAGAATAAAATTAAAAATAATAAACGATTCAGATCTTTTCTTGCGTTTCTCAAATTAATTGCTAAGTGTTATTTTCATGCTATCATTTATATAGTAATTTGATACTATTTATATTTAAAAATATATCTAAATTACATTTTTAGTCCTTATAGTTTGTTGAAAATTTCTATTTGCATCCTTATACTTTTTTAATTACTATTTTATTCCTATGTTTTATAATTCATTACTTTTTTGATTTTATGATTTAAAATTTATTACTTTTATTATCTCTATAGTTCACAATTCATTTCTATTTTAGTTTTTTATACTTTAATGCCATGTATTTTAAAATGTGATTAAACAACATATATGCGCATGACTCGATATCTAAGGTTTTATGTACGATATAATACCAGTATTATAAAAATGTCTTGTTTAATGGTCCTGTAATCATGTTCAATCACACTAATCATGGACATTTATAAATCACAATATGACATGTTTAATTAGGAAAAGCGGGTGAAGTAAGTTTGTATCCCAAGTTAAATCACCACCGTCCTCCTCCCACTCGTCCCTTCGGTAGTGTTTGGTATGCAGACTGGATGGGACAGGACGGGACGGTACGGGACAAAACAGGATGGGACGGAACATGACTAATTGTCTGTCCTATGTTTGGTACGACTAGGACAGGACGGGATAAAACTATTAAAATGAACATATTACCCTAAATGTTGTTCAATATTATTTTATATCATATAATGATTGTAAAATGACAACAAATCAACCAAAATATTGTCATTTTAACTTTAGTCCCATGTTGTTCCACCTTTTTTAGTGGAACAAGAAATATCAAGATTTGTCCCATTAAAATTAAAAATAGTCTCGCCTTGTCCCATGTTTTTTTTTGTCCATGGCATGCCAAACATGGACTATTTTTTTTTGTCCCGTGTAGTCTGCATACCAAACACAGCCTTCATGGCTGGCGGCGAAACTAATCCTCCTCACAAGGCGTTTGGTACTACAAATATTAAAACCTACGTGCCGTTGATCCTTGATCTTGACCCGACTCAACTACGACGCTTGGCGTGAGCTTTTCACCACCCACTGCATCGGATTCGACGTCTTGGATCATATTGATGACACCACACCGAAGCCAACGGATCCCGAGTGGGAGAAAATAGACTCTATAGTTAAACTATGGATATACTGTTCGATCTCCCAGTCCCTTCTCCAAATGGTTCTCAAGAAGGATTCCACCACTCTTCAAGTTTGGAACAACCTCGGAGACGCTTTTTCGTGATAACAAAGACGTGAAGAGTATGCAAATCGATAGCGAACTCCGGAACATAATCATGGGCGACCTCTCTATCACTGCCTATTGCACTAAAATCAAAACCCTTGCCGATCTCCTAGCCAACATGGATCTGAATTCCGCTATACCGGATAAACACTTGGTGATTTACATGATAAACAGCCTATCTCCCAAAATCGATTTCGTTGCCAACATGATACGGTATCAATCACCTCTCCCAACATTCTTGGAAACTCGATCGATGTTACTCTCGGAGGAACAACGAATGTCTCAACCCCGATAATCTCTTACAACCGGTCACACGGACCACTCCTTGGCACCAACTCTCCTCCATGTGAATGGGCAACAACGGTGACAACAATCATCACGGAAACAACGGTTCATCTCGTGGAAATGGCCGTCGCAACGGGCGCCAACAACAGCAGCGACGTCGTCAAAACGGTCAATCCGATAGCCGGTTTCCTCCTCCGCCATCGCAGCCATACGGCTGGATTTATATCGCGCCGCATGGTCAAGCCCTCAGTCGTGAGACAGCCATCCTCCATGCCATGCTTGGTCGTCAGCAGGTCTGATGGGTCCGCCTCCCTCACCGAACAACAGCCTCCCTTCTGGGCCAGCCCAACCGTAGCTTCAATCCAGCCCAAACACTCGCTACAACCAAGCTGTCAGCCCACAGATTTATGCAGCTTCCACCGCTCCTGAACAGCACCAAACAAGTAACGATATTGCTCCTCCTTGGGCCTGGTCAAGCACTTCCTAGCCCACGACTTTGCCCTAGTTGTTTAACACGCTTTCACTGAACGAGTCGGGCACGAGCGACTGGTATATGGACACCGGAGCAACTGACCATGTTCATTTAAATGCAGTTATACTCGACTCTATGTGTGGTAATCGCATTTTCTATTCTGTCCTAGTCGGTGATGGTTCTAAAGTACCTGTAGTGACTTCGGGACATACCCCATTTTCTGTCCCTAACCCTTACCCAACACTTCACCTTAACGTTGTCCTCACTACCCCCAAATTATTAAAAATCTTGTCTCTGTTCACAAATTCACGAGTCAAAATATAGGGTTTGGTTCACGTGAGACTAAAGGTTTTTCATGAGATCCAAAAGACTAATTTATGTTGATCAATTTTATAAGCTAATTATCTAATGGTCTAAATTTGCACGGTGACAATTTTGTGATTATTAAGAAGTCTCGTGGCACTTTTGTGATTATAAATGTCCAGATTGTAGATCTAATCCAAGGGTTGAGAATTGGTCGGGTCATACGAAAAACTTTTGGTCTCACATGATCCCAATTATATATATATATATATAGAGAGAGAGAGAGAGAGAGAGAGAGAGATGAGCGTTCAAATAAAAACTTGACCCATTTGTGTAAACCATGTAAACCAATCTCATCCATTCATTTTTTTGATCAATGGCTAAGATTACATTACTTTATTTTA